TTTTCTACTACACTAGTGACAACCATTAGATTTTGTTAACAAACTTATTTACTTATATGTTTTTGTTAGGGCTTATGGGTGAACTTTGCAAAGAATAAGTTATTTTGTCTTCTTGGTCCAAATCGTGTTGGGAAAACCATAGTAATCAATTGCTTGACTAGCATAGTACTAATGGCTATTGGAGATGGTAAGAAGTTTTATTTCCTCCTTTTTACTTGTTTTCATTTGATCTTCTAACTAATTATAAATCAGTCAGTATGAATTTTGCAATAGATTTAATAGTGTTATAATGCCTTCTTGCAACAGTCATTTATGGTTATTCTATTCAAAGTTCAGTTGGCATGTTAAAATTTAGTAGACTTATAGGTGTTTGTCTTTATCTATCATTCTCTCTATGTGAATCTTTGCATTCCTCCTCCACTTATTCTCTATGTAAGCTTACATCTCTATCTACATATGCCATTGTTAGCATTTTAAATTAAGTGTGATTTTCACTACCATAACATTTATAAAAAAAAATGACTTTGACTTTTGTTTGTTTTGGTGTAGTTTTCTAGTTTGATATCTTTTGGGATACACTTTCTAGTCAAGAGTATCTCAAAGTTTTTGCTCCTTTTAATGGCCTACACCCAACTTCTATTAAATGGGTATGTATGAAGTAAACTTGCCGAAAACATCTTACATGATTAACTTTATTATTGAAGAAGTTACCTCCATTTCAATCTTGTAATTGTAGACAACATAGATGCTTGATTCTATCTTGATGAAACTCCTTAACTAATAAATAAATTGTTTTTAAACTCTTATCCATTATGATGAATTATTTTGCTTGAATTTCAAGTTGTTCAGATGTCATTAATAAAGGTGAAACTCACTGAGGCTACCAAAGTAAGAGCTAGAAGTTACAGTGGAGGGATGAAACACCACCTTAGTGTTGCAGTAGCCCTCATTGGTGATCCTGAGTTAGTCATCTTAGATGAACTAGTATGTTTTGATTACTTAGTAAATTTTTGCAAAACACTTCCTTTTTTTTTCCTATTTTTATTTCCTTGAAATGATATGCAAACTATCGGTATGGATCTTATAACAAAAAGGCATGTCTGAGACATAATAGAGAGT